GGGCCTAGGCCTGGCCCAGGATGATGTGGTAGACTTTGGGGAGCCCCCGACTAGGGCCCTACCCTGCCTGGGGAGTAGAGGGTGGATAGGGTGGGGAGTAGGTCAGGGGGAGGGAGTGGGGGGAAGGGGAAGGAGAGGGAGAAGAGATTGACATGTGAAACAAGCTTGTTCCTAATTTGAACTAATAATAAATATTACAAAAAATTACTATGCTAATAAAGCAAAAAATCATCTAAATATATATGGATTTGAATATTTGTATTTCCAGAGCCATATTCTGGAAATAAACCTCTTTTCCTCTGAAAAAAAAAAAAAGATGACATATTATATTTCTAATTCCTGCAACTGTATTGAAAATATACATAGTATATAACCCTTACTTATAGATTTGCTGTGAGCTTGTAAATAAATAATATCTCAACTAGAAAAAAATGCATAGAGTGAACACTAGGAAGCAGAGGAAGTTCTGAATGAATAAAGTCTGTAGGGAATGTGTGTTGTTGACATGGGGAGAGCCATATCAAGGACTCCAATGTCTCAGCCCGAGAAGTGTCAAGACCTTCCCCAGGTGAAGCTCAGAGGGATGGCAAAGCCTTCCTCATGGGCAGTGTGGACCACTGACCAGTTTGTACAAAAACTGGCAAGTGTAGCTTCCTCCTCCTGAATGTTTACCGCATGAAACTAGCTGCCCACAGAGAACTCCTACAGAGACTAGCCGACCCTATGCTGTGCAGTACATAATGAGGATGCTAAGGTTCCAAGTTGTGGCAGTAATAGGTAGTCGGCCATCAGAGTGTGCACACCCCACCTAATCAGTTTTTCTGTATGTGTGTCTGTCATTTTTTCATTACCTCACCTCCCCTAATCAGGGCTCCAGGACCCAAGTCTGGTGGATCATGATAGAACACACTTAGTTTCTGTTTGGTTTCTTAACGTTTTAAAGTGTGCAACCTAGGGCTGGAGAGATGGCTCAGCAGTTAAGAGCAATTGCTGTTCTTGTAGAGGATGAGGGTTTGCTTTCCAGCACCCACAAGGCAGCTCACAATCATCTGTAACTCCAGGTGCCCCCCCGTGTGTGTGTGTGTGTGTGTGTGTGTGTGTGTGTGTGTGTAGGCAAGACCTTCATACACATACAGTAAAAAAAAAAAAGCATGCAACCTTTTAAAAGTTAAAAAGATAGTAATATATATACATCCAATATTAAGATTTTCTAAACTAGCATTAATGGGAAAGTTTCACTTATAATTAACTGTAAGAATTTACCCTTATGAGAAACTGGATTTCAACCCCAGAGAGAAAACTTACATCATTTCAATAATGTAAATTATTTCAATCTACATCATAGTCAATGTGTAAGAAGGCTTTCAAATGTAAGGAGCTTCACTGATCAAATTCATATACAAACCCCTTAGGTTTCCTTCCAGCTTTATGGTTTCCAGGCTCTAAGCAACCTGGTGAGAATATTGTACCATATTTATGCACACCTCAAACACAGTCATGTGATAATATCAGATAAGTCTCCCCTACCTCTCAAACCCACTTCCCCTACAACAAAACAATATGTCACATGATCATTTCAATAAATATAGAAAAAGCCTCTGACAAATTCAACATGTCTTCATGATAAAAGTCCTAGAGAACTGCTTCCCGTCCTTCGTTGTTGTTGTTTTGGTTTGGTTTGGTTTGGTTTGGTTTTTTTGGTTTTTTGAGACAGGGTTTCTCTGGGTAGCTTTGGAGCCTATTCTGGCACTCGCTCTGGAGACCAGGCTGGCCTCGAACTCACAGAGATCCACCTGCCTCTGCCTCCCGAGTGCTGGGATTAAAGGCGTGCGCCACCAACGACTGGCTGCTTCCCATCCTTTCTAACAACGTGGACCCTTTAATACACGTCTTCATGTTGTGGTGACCTCCAACCATAAAAGTGTGTCGTTGCTACCTTTTAACTGTAACTTTGCTAGTGCTATGAACTGTAATGTAAATATCTGATATGCAGAATATCTGATGCCTGACCCCTGTGGGGGCTGTGGTCCACAGGTTGAGAACTGCTGTCCTAGAGAATTTCAAGCTAGAGTGAACATGCCTCAACATAATAAAAGCTATATATGAGAAACCCACAGCCAACATCATCATAGAGGAGAAAACCCTGGAGCAATCCCACTGACGTCAGTAACGAGAAGGCTGTCCACTCTCCCCCTCATCTCCCGTATTGTGATGACTTCTTTTCCTGGGTGGATGCCTTTAATTTCCTTCTCTTGCCTTACTGCTCCAGCTAGTGCTTTGAGCCTGGCCTCTCCTGTGAGCCAGCTAGGAAATGGCAGGGACTCGGATGTGGCCAGTGTGTGTGTGCGAGTTACCTCTCTCGCTCCTGCTCCAGCAGGTTGGTGAAGTCATCGCTCTTGTTCATGTAGTCAGTGTGCTTGTGTTTCTCGTTCTCCAACTCGTACACGGTACGCCGGTGACACTTCTCTGCCAGCAGCAGCTGCTCCAGCATGCGGCGGTATGTCTCCCTCTGCTTTTCCTCCAGTCTGTCCAGCTGAGTGAGCAAAGCCAGGAAAGAGCTTAGTGCCTGACTTCATCTGTAACGACTGTACGTTGTGACACTGGCCTGGGGGCTATGACCGCATGCAGAACATTGGAAGGGAAATGGTGTGCCATTGCCTTCTGGTGTTTTCTCAATGCCAATGGGATCTATAAACTAGCCATAATGACCCTAATGCTTTTGGTTTGCTGTTTTGAGACTCAGTCTTGTTATGAAGCCCAGGCTGACCTCAAACCCACAATCCCCCTGCCTCGGCCTCCTGCTTGCAGGAATTGCATGCTTGTGCTGTCATGCTGCAATTCACCTGCTGGCCTTCTGGGGCGCACTCCCCAGATTTTAGATTACATTATTTCACAGAAAGTGGATAACATCTTCCCGACCTCAGAAAAGTTAGGATCTCATCATGCACATGTACCAGACTTCTCTTCTGGGTAGCAATTATCACTGGCATAATATAAGGCTTGTAACTACCTGAATTTCTAGGTAAAATATAGGAAGGGCCCACACTCCTAATTTTTTTTTCAAGACATGCTAAAGGAAGACTTTTTTAGAACATTTAAAAGGCACATTTCTCTAAATGAGGTCTTACAAATCTTACACAGGGCTGCTGCTTCTCTGTGGCCAGAGTATCCAATCTTCATGAAACCATGGCTTCATCAGCCTTTAGTTCTGACTATGTAGTATACAGTCAGCATAAAGTATATGTTTAGTAAATGCCTGTTCAAGGGAACTGGATGTTACAATATCGCCACTTCCTCTCCTACTCATTACTTCTTTCTCTCCAACTCCAGCACAGGACTTTGATCCGGCACTGCTGAGGAGAGAAGAGATGGCCCTCTGTGGGGCTGTCCATGTGGCATCGGTCAGCAGAAGTCCTGCCACTTACGGTCCTGTGCAGCAAGGGATGTCAGCAGCATCCTTCTGACCGGATGCCTCCAGCACTATATCCATCTGTGATGAACAAAAGCTTTGACACTGTGCCATGTTTTCTGGACAAAGAAATCCTCTACTTATTCCCCATCTCTCTGAACCCAGTATTCCAGGCATAACAGATGTATTCAAATCCATTCTCAATGCCACTAACAACTCCCTAACCCTGCTGGGGAGTGAGGCTGCATGCAGTATCAGCATTGGAGCTGCTCTCTGGATTTCTGTTTGCCCTTCAGTTTCAGGAAGACTTTACAGTTCTCTTTGCAAATGTATGATGCATTCATTGTGAATGGACTATTTCTGGGACCCCAAATAAAAAGGATGTTGCTTCATCCTCCTGTCTTCTCTTTGCTTTGGAGCATACATCAGATGGAAACTGGTTGAAAGATCCATAATCACTGGTGACCCATAGCATTTAGATCTTTGCAGTTTGGCCGTTAAACTCTTGGGCCTTTTGACAAATCTGGAAAAGTATTTGAAGAACATCTCTGCCTGTGTCTTCATTTCTCTCAGCTAAGGAAAGGGCAGTAACTTATTTGAAAGCTGTTTAGAATGAAGAGCCTAGTATGTATGGGTCAGACTTTTAATTTATTTTGCATCCTGCATACTGTAGCATGATGCACTGTTCTCTGAAGGCCCAGTGTCCCCTAAGATCTCAATCTAGCCAAGAAATTGTATAGCAGAAGATGATGCCATTAGTAATTAGATGGTAGATGTAGAAATCCCAAGAGATACTGACTGTATGGACACCTGGAGAGAAAACTAGCACATGGAAACATCAAATATTTTGGTGCAGCCTCAGCACAGAGCAGGCCTTGGCCTTAACCAAGTGGGTTTTTTAAGGTAACAATAGTCTTGGGCTGGGTCACTGGAGTGGGTTACTGGAATTGCTGTGGATAACATTCACCTCAATGCACCTCATATAGTTTGCTGTAACTATAGCTACATTATGAGGAAGATAGTCTTCTGGCCTCCATCTACAAGTTACTGAGGCATTCCTGCAGAGCTAAAGTTCTGATTAAAAGTGTCAGTATGGGGTCTAGCTTCCAATCCTAAATTCTTACACGGGTAGCCACAAACCAGCTCTGTCAGATGTTATTTCTTGTTTTGTGTTTGTTTGCTTTGTGACATCAAGTACACACTGGGTACTGACTTTGGGCTTTTGAGTTTTAAGAGGTGGTTCAACACAGAGGAACGGCTGTTAAAGACCAGTGCAACTGTAAAGGGCATCTGTTATTTGGAAAGGCCAAGAATTTGCTAAGGAAAGAAAGAATGTACCTAGAGTTCTTTTTGTTGGGTTGGTTTTTTGCCTTTCTTTTTTGTTGTTTTGTTTTGTTTTTTGAGACAGTTTCTCTTGAAGCCCTGGCTGGCCTGGAACTCAAGTGATCTCCTTGCCTCTGCCTCCTGAGCGCTAGAATTAAAGGTGAGTACCACCTTCCTAGAAGCCTTTTAAATTACATTTTTT